AAGCTTTGTGGTAGTACCTGTTTTCTGAGGCATTCGTGCAGGAAGTATAGTTGATTGTGGGTCACGCTCAGTCAGATGACATTTGTTTCCCATCTGCGGGCCAGTTTGAGGATGTTGAGCCCATGGATGTTTAAAGTTTTTGAGAAGGTTTGTAGCTCAGATTGTTGAAGAGGTTGTAGATATGCTCGCAGAGGCGGTGGGTTTGGTTGCAAACGTTTCGTCACCAGCTAGGTAACATCGTCGGTGCGCCTCTGGTGAAGTGTTGGTGTTTTGTCCCGCTTGTTATTTATGTGCCTCAGTTTTTTGGGGTGTTTGGTACCATTTCCGGTTCTGTTTCTCAGTGGTTTGTACACAGGGTCTAATTCAATGTGTTTGTTGATGGAGCTCCGGTTAGAATACCAGGCCTCCAGGAATTCCCTGGCGTGTATGAGCAGTGGGTGAGGTGAGGACCCTGTGACAGGCAGTCAGTATCACTGAGAGGAGAAGGTGAGGTAAAAGCCATTGCAGAGAAGCAGAGCAGATTGGTGAAAGACCTGAGTGGGACTCAGGACATAAGCAAGGCTCAAATGCATGCAAATATAGTCTGGTTCAGGTAAGAGATGCCTTTGGTTTGTCTGGATAAAGGTTAACTCCAATGGTTGTTTGTTTCCTTGGTATGCCACTGTACAGAACCGAATTGCATTGGTGACTATTATATATATATTAAGTTTTTTTTTAATGAATGAAGTATATTTTTGAAATAATAAAAGAATGATTTTTCTAGGAATCAGGATGAAATAAGAGTAAGGGTCCATATTCTGTTTAATTGAGGTATGTCCAGGGAGCTGAGGCCTCTGATTTGCACATGCTGCACCTTGTGTGAAATCAGAGACACTCCTGGCAGTCTGGATGGCCATGTGTACAGGAGGTTCCTCCAGCTGGAACAGCTCAAACTGCAGGTCTTGGAACTTGAGCAGCAGCTGGAAGTACTCTGCTACATTCATGAGGCTGAGAGGTTTGTGGTTGACACATTTCAGGATGTGGTCACTCTGCAACTTTAGAACGGCAGACAGAAAGGGGATGGAGGATCACCAGACAAAAGAAGGGGATCAGACACTTAGAAAGAATCTCCAGATCTTGCTTGCTTAAGTGTTTTCAGCCTTAGGAAAATCAAGGAACAGTATCAGGGCATTCTGAAAGGGAAGAGTGATTGTTCGGGTCGTGCGAGGTAAAAGTGGACATGGAGACTCAGATGAGGGCAGAGTGAAGTTTCTCCGGGGTCAGATTCTAGTCAAAGGTAATTTGCACCATGCCACTGCTGTGTACAAATTGAACATGGATAGCTCAATTATGTTAAAGTTAACAGCAATGATGTTAGAAAAAAAGCCAATGCTGGAAAAGACAAACTATTGTACAACTACCAAGGGTGTTGTGGGAGCCGTAAACCGTCTCTTCATCATCTGTCATGTATGTAGGTTCTGAATAGAGTGAGAAGGTGAACAGCTGATATGGGTGTGGGAACACTATGGATTTGGAGCTCTGCAGGCACTCCCCTTTTTGATGATATCTACATGTCACTCCATTGGCACATTACCTTCATGAAGAACCCCTTGGGATGCATGGGGTCTATGGGAGGCTCAGAGCTTTTGATTTCTGACTCCTTAGGCACAGTGCTGTCACAGGCTCTATATTTCCCAGGATGCTGTGACAAATTTATGCCAAATGCTAGAGAGGGATCTGAGGGCTGCAGTAGTGGGAGGCCAGCCTTTCCTGTGGTTATAACGATGACAGCCACTCTGGACTTCTATGTCACTAGACTAGTAATGCAGAGAATCAGGAAGTGATCTAGATACCTGGGTTCAAATCCCGCAAAGGCAGCTGATGAAATTTAAATTAAATTGTAAAAGTCTATAATGACAATTCCTGATTGTCATAAGAAACCACAAATATGCTTTAAGGAAGGAAACCTGAATGTCACTCCAGAGCCACAGTAATGTGGTTGACTCTTAACTGCCCTCTGAAATGGCCTAGTAAACCACTCAGTTGTACCTAAGTACAAGTAGAGATGGGCAAGAAATGCTGGCTCACCAAGCAATGCTCACGTACCATGCATGAGTGAAAAAAAACTGTTGGGGGTGTTATCTTCAAATTTTTCATCAATACCCTTTATACCCACAACATATAAGGAAAGGGCAATAGCTATAACTGCTATTCTTGGGGAACTCAGCAACAACATTTTTCCCAAACTAAAAATCTTCCATACAGGAATATTCTCTAAATTCTGTCTCTTTGACAAGTTCTAAAGCTGCTTCCCTTTAATCCCACAAGCTTCAATTTTGCTACAAAGGCCATTATGCAGCACTTTATCAATGTCTTTTGAAAGTTCAAAAGACAAGATTATCTGCACAAGCCTGAATATTCTTCAGATATCTCTAAATATATGATCCCCATTAATGACTGAAGCCAACCTGTTCAATTTTGCTCCAGCTCCTGGCTGTTTGTTCAAACTGAATCTGATTGAATCTTGGTGTGGTGCTATACTTAGCTGAGTTGCAAATGTCACATTCTGTCAATCACAATTCTAAATTAACCTCTGCCATCTTGCACATTTCACAAAGCTGGGTGGGAGGATGAGTTGTGAGGAGGATACAGAAGTGCTCCATCGTGATTTGGACAAATTGAATGAGCAGGCAAATGCATGGCAGAGTATAATGGATGAAAATGTGAGATTATCCACTTGGGTGTATATTATCAAAGCATTTTATTATCTGAATGGTGATAGATTGAGAAAATGGGAGGTGCAACAAGACCTGGGTGTTCTTGTACACCAGTCACTGAAAGTGAGAATGCAGGTACAACAGAAGGTGAAGAAGTCATTTCGTGTGTTGGTCTTCATAGTGAGAGGATTCCTGTACAGAAGCAGGGATGTGTTGCTGCAATTGTACAGTGTCTTGGTGAGACCACACCTGGAAAATTGTGTGCAGTTTTGATTTCCTTATCTAAGGAAATATGTTCTGGCTATGGAGGGAGTGCAACAAAGGTTTCCCACACTGATTCCTGGGATGGTGGGGCTGACTGATGAAGAGAGCCTGGATCTGTTAGGATTATATTCACTTGAGTTTAGAAGAATGTGGAGAATCTCGTAGAAAGCTGTAAAATTCTAACAGGACCAGACAGGCTAAACGCAGGAAGGACATTCCTGATGCTCCCAGTCCCAACCAGGAATCATATCTCATATGGGGCAGGCCATTTAGGAGTGAAATAAGGAAAATTTTCTTCACCCAGAGAGCAGTGAGCCTGTGGAAATATATCGCCATTCTTCCCGTGTTGCTGGGTCAAAATCCTGGAACACCCTCTCTAACAGCATTGTGAGTCTCCCTGCAGTAAATAGATTGCAGCAGTTCAAGAAGACACCTCACCACCACCTTGTCAAGGGTAAGTAGGGGCAGATTTGTTGTTAAACATGTTGTGGATGAAAAACCATTAATATATTTTTTATTGACAACCAGGAAACTACTTAAAAGTACCAAATGGAATGTCCAAACTACTATTGATTGCAAAGACATGTGATTTCCAAGTGTTATAGACTAGTTACTGGACAGAAGGGAACCATTAAGCTTACCCGTGCCAACTCACTGCAACAGCAACTCATCCTCATCTTGCTCTAATGCCATTTCTCTTTAGTTCTGTAAACCTTTTATCTTTGGATTATTGTCTAATTGTCTTTTAAGGGCCTCAATTATATCCGTCTTCACGACTTACCATATAAAAAAGGTTTTGCTCATGTCACCATTGCTTCTTCTAATCAATATAAACCTGTCTTTTGGTTCTTGAATTCTGCTAACAGAATTGTTTCTCTCCTTATGATTTTGAATACATCTATCAGTTCCTCATTTCATAAGAAAACAGTATTAGCTACTCCAATCTATCCATCCCAAGAACCACTTCTGTGAATTTTTATTTCTGTATCCTTTCTAATGCTATCACATCATTCTTAAAGTACGATGTCCAGAACTGACACAGTACCCTAGGTTAAGACCAAGATAGTTTTGTATAAATTTATCTTAGCTTTCTTGATTTTAGATCCTGTGTCTCTACCTAAAAAAAAAAATCCTGGATGCCTTTTGCTTTAATGACTGTATCCTCAAATTTCCCTGCCAGCTTCAGTGCACATATACCTTAGGATCTTCTGCTCCTGAACTTTCCTTCAATAAATTTCATCTTTCACTTGCCCACCCATTCCACCAACCTGCCTATGCTCTTATGAAGTGTATCACTGTCCTCTTCACAGTTCACAATATTTCCAAGTTTTATGTTGTATCAGTTATCTTGTATAAACAGCAACACAGGGGTTATACTGAAACAAATAATTGTAATATATTTTCTACAAAATATCATTGCTATTCACAAATCGACAATGTGTACTTTATGGCAAAATTAAACAAAGGAAGCCTTGCATCTATGTTATAACTTTAATAACCTCAAGCCATCTCAAAGTGCTTGAGAAACAGTAAAGTACTCTTTGGGGTGTAGTCTTTGTGACAATATAGGAAACATGACAGCCAATTGTACACAGAAAGTTCCCACTAAGTAATTTAAAAATGATCGGGATAATCTATTACCAAATAAACATGATGATGAATAGTTACCTGCTGTTCCTCAAAACTTTATAGTGAAATCTATTTTTATCAATCTGAAAAAGCAAGTAATGCCTCAGTTTAACACCACAGCTGAAAGACACTATTCCCTCTGTTATGGACTGGAATGTGAGCTTTATTTTATACTCAAGTCTTGAGTGGAGCTTGAAACATCAACCTTCTGACTCAGAACCAAAGGTCCTACGCACTGATCCATGGCTGACCAACTATAATAATAAAATGAAAAGTTTTTTTAATATCAAAGCAGTGATGGAGATTAGGAGAGCAGAAGATCCTCATAATGGGTGCTCCACAGCCTATGCATTATAAATTTACTAATTAACATTGTTTTTCTTTCAGATTGAGCTGTTACGTGGATCAATTATGATAACAACAGGAGGTCTTCTGCATATTACAGCCAAGACCAACGATTCCTTCCAGTCCTGTGAGCTGGCAATTAAACACCAAAGGAAAATGTACAAAAGAAAGAAGAATGATGTGGTAATGGTGAAAGCCAAACTGAAGTTATGCTCCATTTCAGGATTAGTTACTGCTTTTGGGATCTTGGTAATGATGTGGGGAATTGCAATGGTACTAATAGCTTACTGGCCCATGGCCTACAAGATTCCCGAAACAATTGCAGTGTCTCGAAACATCACCAGTAACAACACAACAGCTGACACTTCATCTTTGGAGATTATTTCTGAATTTGTAGCCAGCTATCTACGTTCTGATAAACTGAAGATCTTAGGGCCGCTCGTTTTGGGAATTGGCATATTTTTATTTATCTGTGCTAATGCAGCCCTTCACGAGAACAGAGACAAAAAAACTAAAGTGATCAATGTGCAAGATATTTACACCACAGTAATAGATGTGCATGACAAAAAGAAAACAGAATATGGTCCTTTGAAAGGATTTGTGAATTATGTGCAGTGCAAAAGCGTTGACAATCTCAAGTTTCCAACTCCTTACAATGCAGCAATATTGGCGAAAAGGTCCTGTCAGGCTCCAACTGCAGATGGCATTAAAAAAGCTTGATCCAATGAAAAGCCCAAGAGAAAAATAACAATTGTTTGGCAGGAACTTGACCCAAAGAGCAACAAACCATTATCATAGACTCTGTTCAGTGTCTATAGATACAGAATCAGTGCCAGTGTAAGAAAGAAAATGCCTGAAATAAACGGCACTGCATCCCATACTACTACATCCATTGATTCACTCACAGTCCCTATAACTAAAACAAACACATCTACTCAGACTTAGGAAAACAACTGATCAGCAAAAGGTGATAATGAAGCAGAGGTGTCAAAACATCATGAATAAATTCAACCCAAAATGTGGTATATTATCTTTGATCCCAGAGAAACTGTTGGACATATTTCAGGAGACCGAATCCGAACTGATCACCCTGGAAACTATAAAATGATACCAAGGTGCTGATTTCAAATGGTATGATGATATCTAACCAGTAATAACAAAGTCTCAGAAATTTCTAGTTTCTATAGGCAGACATTTCAGGACTACAGTCAGAAAATGCTGGAAATTCTCAACAGGTTTTAAATCTCATCTTACTTGTCACTGAAATTAGACAGACTCCAAAGACTAGCAGATCATTTATTATCCTTGAAGTTATCTAGTTGTCTTCATTAGTGAAGTGATCCATTGTGGTGGAAGAATGAGAAGAGATTATGTAAAACAAAAACTACAATTTTAAAGGGAGTACAGGTGCAGAGAGACCTGGCGGTATGTGTGCACACATCTTTGGAAGTGGCAGGGCAGATTGAGAAAGCAATTTGGAGCATACAGAATATAAACAAAATATTGTGGATTTTGAGTATTTGAAACAAACAGAAAATGCTGGAGAAACTGGGGTGGCACAGTGGCTCAGTGGTTAGCACTGCTGCCTCATAGCGCCAGGAACTCGGGTTCGATTCCACCCTCGGGCGACTGTCTGTGTGGAGTTTGCTCATTCTCCCTGTGTCTGCGTGGGTTTCCTCCGGGTGCTCTGGTTTCCTCCCACAGTCCAAAGATATGCAGGCTACGTAGATTGGCCATGCTAAATTGCCTGTAGTGTTCAGGGCTGTGGAGCTTAGGTCAGTTACAGGGGGATGGGTCTGGCTGGGATGCTCTGAGGGTCAGTGTGGACTTGTTGGGCCAAAGGGCCTGTTTCCACACTGTAGGGGTACCATGAAAAAAGTCTGGCAGTATCTGAGCACAGAGAAACTCAGTTTACATTTAAAGTTGATGAACATTCACTCAGAGTAGGAATATTAGAAGTTTTGAACAACAGTGAAAAAGAGGAGGGTAATAAAAATAGCCAAAAGGTAGGATTCTGATGGATTATAATGTGATCAGCCAGATTGGCAACATAGAATATGAGTTCCCTGATTGGTGCTGGGGGTTCTGGCTGACAGATGAGAGAACAGGAGTTTCAGACATCCTGTTTGATCTGAGAGCTGGCTCTGAGGGAGCTGGATCAGTGTCAAGGACACTCCACATGTAAATAAAGGGTGACTTGGTGACAGGATATGGGTCTCTGTGGCAATTTTCAGTGATGATGACAGAAAAGCACGCTTCTGAAGAAATTCATTCGCACACAGTTGTCCTTGGATTAAGGGAAGCATTTCTGGCATCATAATGTTATTTGCGAAGCTTAACTCTGCTGACCCAGCCATTGAAGACTGGGCCCAGTATCTGGATAGAATGTGCTATTTTCTCCAGGCAAATGACACTGGGGCAGCTGAAAAGCAACAAGTAATTCTCCTACAGCTTGTGGACCCACAGCTTTTTTGGTTATTAGGAGCCTAACTTTCCCTGAGAGACCAGGGAGTTGATGGATTTAGTTGAGTATTACGACCCCAAGCCCCCGCTAATTCTGAGACACTATCAGTTTTACTCAGCAATTCGAGAACCAGGTGACTAGCTTAAAACAACTGGCAGAGGCATGTGACTTTGGTTTAGCTCTGAATGCAATGCTGAGAGACTGTTTGGGATCCCCGTATGTGAGATTGATGATATAACCACGCCAAAGCGCCTATCAATGAAGTCCAACTGGACTTCAAACAGGCACTGCAACTGGCTTTGTCATTGGAAAAGGTGGCAGGTGGAGCATTTGAGTTGCAGCAGTTGTATTCCAATGGAAGTGGACATCCATTGAGCTGTTCCAGTCAAGCCAAGTGACCTACTTGGGGTACAGAGTCAACTAGGCTGGGTTATGTCCGTTGAAAGATAAAGAGAGGGTGATCAAAGGTGCCCCGGCTCTCATGTCAGTACCAGAGCTTACGTCTTTCCTTGGGCTGGTGAATTATTATGGAAAGTTCATACATAACCTAGCCTCCACCCTGGTACCTTTGCATCAACTCTTAGAAGGGGGTCAACCTTGGAAACGGTCGTGTAACCATGCCATAGCTTTCAGAAACAGCTATCATCCTCTAAGTTGGCACCCTATGATCCTAAGTTAGATCTTGTATTGACATGTGATGCCACCCTGTACGGCATCGGGGTAATATTAGGCCCATAGGTGGCCCAATGGAGAGGATTGCCCAATAGCATTTGCATCCAAGACTGTAACTAATGCAGAGTGTAAATACGCCAAGATAGAGAAGGAAGATTTGGCAGTCATATTTGGAGTCAGGACCTTCCAGCAACACCTTTACAGACAGAAATTTGTAATAACAATGGACCACAAAATCCTGCTACATCTACTTAAACAAGACAAGGCATGGCCGCCCGTAGCTTCAGGCTGTATCCAGCGGTGGGCATTAATACTATGTGCGTATAATTACAAGTTGAAACACTGAATGGGAGGCCAAGTAGCAAATGTAGATGCACTGAGCCACCTCCTGCTGTCAGATACATCACCAGTGGTACAGTCACTGGAAGAGCCTGTAATGATTTTAAATTTTCTGAACACACTTCCAGCCACAGCTGCCAATATCGAACTTTGGATGCAGAAAGCACCAGAATTGAAGCCGTTTTGGACCCAGAGAGGCCAGATCATGGTAGAGGATGGCCTATTATTACAGGGTGGAAGAGTGATTGTCCAGAGCAAAGGTCACCACCAGATATTGGCTGAAATTTGAAGGTAGGCTTGAAGAAACAGCCTACAGCTTCCCTGTTCCTGTTCCTGTTTAATTGTAGGATCACCCCTCAGGAAACTACAAGGATAGCTCCAGCAAAGTTGCTAATGGGGAGAAGATTCTGCACTAGGTTAAATCTGATCTTCCCAGACTGGGGGGTGAGGGGGGTAGGGAGAAACAGCATCAGGAACACCGATGCTGGACATGACACTCCGCAAAACGAGAGAGACAGTTTGCTTCGGGGATGACGTTTGGTGTAGGAACCAAGGTAAAGGTCCTGCATGGGTGAACGTGAGGTCAGGTCCAGTATTGTATAAAGTTCAGGCAGGTGAGACTGTCCTGAACAAGCACATGGACCATATGTAAGCTGCAAACTCACAGCGTGGTAGCAAAACATGCCCGGCTCCGTGACAGCTTTTCTGACTGTTCCAGAACCTGTGGGTTCTCCCTCTCCACCAAGTATTGAGGATTCCTTGGAATGTGAGACGGACACAGTGGGTGTCACTGCTTCAATGCCTTTGCTGCCTGAAGAAGAGAATGAATTTCTTCCATGATGCTTTAGACACAAAAAGCTACTGTGCTTTACACACAGTCCGATTCCAAGACAGAGTTGGAGGAGCCTGACCCAGTGCTAAAACACCCCAGGATGAGCTACAAGAAAAGAACTGGCCTCTGTTCTTGGTCTCAGAGAGGGAGGGATGTAGTGATTGTAATGAGGTCAGCCAAGTGGGCCTCATAGAATATGAGTTCCCTGATTGGGACTGTTAACCTGGTCCAATCAGGGAGCCCTGGCTGACAGATATAAACAGGAGTGTCAGAGGTTCTGTTCCCTCTGAAAGCTGGCTCTGAGGGAGATGTATCAGTGTCAAGAACTCTCCACGTGTAAATAAAGAGTGACTTGGTAACAGGATACTGGCTTCTGTGGAGTTATTTGAAAAAAAACAGCTTAGATGAAATGACAAGAGCTGATTTTGCAAAGCCAAAGCATGAGATAATCAAACAAATGAAGAATCTAAAGATATCTCTCAAGAAGGAGTAAATTGCAAAATCAGAAACAGGGGCTATACAAATGCAAAATAAAGAGAAAAACAGGATAGTAAAGTCAAAACTTGCAAAGATGAAGGAAGCAAAATAAGGACAGAGATAACATTTTGTAATTGTTGAAGTCAATGAGTCCAGAAGGCTCAGAAGATAAAGTGTCTCATCCAAAGCTGAGTTGTTCCTCAATATTGTGCTGAACTCCCCTGGAACGTTGCAATTAGCTGACAATACTGGGGTCAGAATGGGTGCAAGATGGAGAATTAAAATGACAGGTATATAGAAGCTAAGGAACTAGCATATGGCTTGAAAAAAGATGTTCCACAAAGCAATCTCACCCAATCTGTGTTGTTTCTCCTCAGTATAGAACATACTGCATTGTAAAACACTCGAGAGAAGTGCAGTTAAATTGCTGCTTCACCTAAAAGGATTGTTTAGGGTCTTGGACAGTGAGGGCAAGGTTATAATGGGCGGTGTCACAACTCATGTGTTAGCATAGAAGGAACATGATGTTGGGGATGATGGACAAATGGACAGGGGTGTTGTCGAGGAATGGTCCCTTTGAAATATTAAGAGGGCTGGGAAAATGCATTTGGCAGTGGTAATATGCTGAAGGTGACAGAAATGGCAAAGAATGATCCATTGAACAAGCAGGCTAGTTAGATGGAAAGTGGGGGTCAGGAGGAATTGTATCCTGGTCTGGGAAGCAGAGGAAGAGAGTGAAAGCAAAACTGCAGGAAATGAGATGGACTTGTGGGGTGGCAGTATCCCATGTTGAGGAAAAATGAAGACAGAGCTAAAGTATTTTTACGGAAGGTTTTAATCTTCTTTAAGTTGCTGACAGTAGAGAGCCCAAGGTTGACATTATTCATTCCAGTTAATCAGTTAGGGCTGGATTTAATACAGGCCTTCATGGTGGAGACTATGACAGCTGAGCCAACTTAACCAGGGAGCTGGCGGGGCTGGGGTCAGGAGTATGGGGAATGCATAACAGTCTCCCAGTGGTGGCAAACCCTCCCAAAATATAGTTGAGAGTTCAAAGGGTCTGATGGCTGTTCCTGGCCACTAATGGTGGATGATCTATTGGTTCATTAATGAGCTAGTTCACATCCATGATCCCCAAGGTCACTGCCATTCAGTAGTGCT